ATGACTTCTTTATTCCTTGTCTGGAATCCTGATGCTCCCTAGTCTCTCCCTTCCTTTCTCTCTCCCCATGGTGTCTCATCCTCCAGACCTGTCCATGTGGCTTGGGCTCCTCACCAGCACGATAGTCACGATAGGCAGGAGGTAGAAACCACAAGGCCAGTTAAGGACTTCCCTAGAACTTGCACAGCTTCACCTCCACCCTGTTCTATTGGCCAGAGGAGTCACAGCATTTGCCCAGATTCACAAGGGTGGTACAATAGATCACACCTTCTGGAGCAATGACAAGGACAAACTGCAGAAGAGCACGTGAGGTGAGAGGGATTGTCATGGTATCTTCAGAAAATAAAGTCTGCCACAGTAACTACGCATACTCTCAGCTTTGGGCGTCCATTCCCAACAGCACTTTCCCTTGATTCATTCATCCACCCAACAAATAATTCCTGAGAGCTGGGCTAGTAACTCTTGCTAAGGAATGAATACAAAATTTCTTAGAAAATGAGAAAGGTTTGGAAACAATTTCAATTTTTAAGTTGAATTTCCCATTAATTCCCAGCTTATTTTTGTTTAATCTCATAAAAAAGCAAACTTTGCCTGCCTTAGGCAAGGTCCAGTATGATCTCCTCTGGGAAGCTTTTCCTGATCTCCCTTCAGGCATATTGGTAGCTCCCACAACACCTTGTTCACACACTAGCAGTGCAATGCTTAGATCTGATTTTTAGCTGAGTTCACATCCACCCGCAAATAAAGACCATGTCTCCCAACCACCCTTGTGACTAGATGGCCATGAGACTAAGTTCTGGCCCATGAAATGTATGTGGAAGTGGTATGTGCAACTTTCAGGAAAGGTCCCTAAAGAAGGAGTGTACCTTTTTTCTTTCCTTTCCTCTTTTTTGCTGCCTGGAATACACAAATGATAGCTGGAGCTAGAGCAGCCATTTTGTACCATATGATGACTTTGGGAATGGAAGCCACAGATAGCAGAACAATGAGTTGAAGAGCTCAAGTTCTTGACACTGTGGAGGGTCACTCCCACGCTGGAGCCAGTACATCTAGGTTTTCACATGAGACAGAAAGGAACTTCTATCATAAACTACTATCTGGCTTAAGCCACTGTTTGGGATTTCCTGCCACTCACAGTTGAACCTAATCGTAGCTGAATAAACTCATATCAAGGGAGTGGGGCAGCAAAATGCAATGCAATGTCTTCTCCACTGAACTATGTACAGAACTTCCAGCTCTTGGTGGGGAATATTAATTCTACACTATAATTCTATTTCCCAGGCAGGAGAATGGGTAAGGTCAAATAATAACATAATGGTCTGAAACTAACTGCATCTGGTGACATTGTTTATGATGTTAAGAGTCTGTAAATGAACTCAATGCTGCTCAAAGAGGGGGAGAGGGGCTGATGAAAATATGGAATATCGGGCGCCTGGGTGGCTCAGTCGTTAAGCGTCTGCCTTCGGCTCCGGTCATGATCCCAGGGTCCTGGGATCGAGTCCCCACATCGAGCTCCCTGCCCTGCAGGAAGCCTGCTTCTCCCTCTCCCACTCCCCCTGCTTGTGTTCCTGCTCTCACTGTCTCTCTCTCTGTCAAATAAATAATAAAATCTTTAAAAAATAATAATAATAAAAAAATAAAATAAAATATGGAATATCCATGTAATGGAAATGTTATGTCTCTGTTTAAGTGAATGAGGCAAATCTCTATATACAATGATCACAATAAATATTCAGGTAAAAATGTAACACCTTTAAAATACTATAACCCCAAGGGAAAGCAAGCAAAATCAAAGAAAGCAGGTTATACATGAAAAATATGGGCAAAAATAGATAACTGCGGAAGCTGGTCAGTGGTTATGTGAGGGTTCATTGTACTTGTGTCTCTGTTCATGTGTACATTGGAGAAAATTCTGTAATAAAAGTGAAAACAAAAACAAAACCACAGGGTTCTGGGCTCTGTTTTCATTTTTGGTGGGTTTTTTTCACTTTTTATTTTTAAAATATTTTCAAAGTGCTGCCCTTGTGGGGAAAAAAAAAAAACAGGGGCGCCTGGGTGGTTCAGTTGGTTAAACGACTGCCTTCAGTTCGGGTCATGGTCCCGGAGTCCCTGGATCGAGTCCAGCATCGGGCTCCTTACTCAGCGGGGAGTGTGATTCTCCCTCTGACCCTCCCACCTCTCATGCTCTCTCTCTCTCTCTCTCAAATAAATAAAATCTTTTAAAAAAATAAAAAAAAACTCGGGGCGCCTGGGTGGCTCAGTTGGTTAAGTGACTGCCTTCGGCTCAGGTCATGATCCTGGAGTCCCTGGATCGAGTCCCACATCGGGCTCCCTGCTTGGCAGGGAGTCTGCTTCTCCCTCTGACCCTCCCCCCTCTCATGTGCTCTCTGTCTCTCTCATTCTGTCTCAAATAAATAAATAAAATCTTTTAAAAAAATAAAAATAAAAATAAATAAAATAAAATTAAAAAAACTGAAGGGAAGAGAGGAGATAGGTGCATATTTAGATGTTTGGACATGCACAGGTGATTGGCTTCTGGAGTGCTACAAAATTCCAAAATTCCAGCTGCAACCAAGGAAGGAAAGGAAGACCACAGGCCAAAAATAGGAGACTTGCTTTTCGTTCTGTAGTTCGTTGTACCAGGTGCCTGCATGACTTGTTTATTATAGAAAAACTAATTCCAAAAAGGAAGTATGGAGAAGAGTGACACTAATCATGTGGTAGGATTGTATACTTTGAAGTAAGTCAATGAGAAATGCCCACACCCTCTTTCTGCCCCCTTCTGCTTTCTGTCTAGGTAATTCAGAGCCAGCCTTTAAGTTCCAGGTCAAAGGCCATCTTGCACCGTGTGGCACAGAACTCAAAGGCCTCAAGGAGCAGGCTAGGAACATAAATGTTCCAAACAAATGAGCCTACTTCATTAAGGAGTGGTAAGGGCACGTGCCTGCTCAAAAGCGTTGAATGTGAAAATCTTTAAAATACAACAGTAGGTCTGGAACTTGGTTGCAATCCTGAAAAAAAAAAAATCCTCCCCTCCCCCGGCCCCCACCCTGCTCAAAATTGATTTCTCCCTTCACTGTGCCCCAGGGCTCTTTGATCATAGGTCTTTTGATGAACTTATATTGTAGTATAGTCATTTGTATGCCTAACGGGCTGTGGCTCTTTGAAAAATTAATGACAATGATTGTCAGCCTTTCTTGAGGGCTTATCAGGGGCTAGGCAATATGTCGAGAGCTTCCCATCTATTATCTCATTTGGTCCTCATGGCCATCCTAGAAATTAGGTACAATTTTTAATCTCCATTTTTCAGAAGAGGAAACGAATCTCAGGAAGATTAAATAACCTGCTCAAGGTCACACAAGTAGCAGTGAGGTGGGTGGGCAGAGCTAGAATTTGAATCCGGGCAATTCGACTCCAGAACCTATCCTCTTTACCAGTACTTCATTTTGGAGGAGAGGACTTGTGTCCCAATCCTAGTGGGAGATTCAGTGCTAACACCTTAGTTTAAATAAGGCAAAATTAATTCAACAATACTTTATTAGGCAATACAGCCTGCAGAGTTTGCTTCCCTACTTCCCATAAACTCAATGACAGGGAGAACGTTTTATTACATCTCACCTGACTCATAAGGGCTTCTTAAGAAAAATAGCTACTAAGTGGGTAAACCTTGAAAATATTAAGCTAAGTGAAAGTAGCCCATCACAAAAGATACCATCTCATATAAATGTCCAGAATAGGCAAACCCATAGAGACAGAAGGTAGAGTAGTAGTTGCCAAAGACGGGCGGGTGGGGGGGGGGAGGGGGCGGGAGGCAAGGGGAAGGTGGAGCAATCAGGGAAGTGACAGCTAAAGGCTGTTGGGTTCCTTGTTGGGGTGATAACAATGCCTTAAAACTTGACTGTGGGGATGGTTTCACAATTCTGTTAATATTAAAAAAACCATTGAGTTGTACAATTTAAGTTGGTGAATTGCATGGAATGTGTTATATCTCAATAAAGCTGTTGTTTTTTTTTTAAAGGAAACTATCTGTTGAATTATCTTTCCAAATATATGCCAAAGATTAGACAAAAAGAAGAATAGGTGAAAGATACATGTAATAAATAACAGATAATGATAGATTGGACAACTGACCAAGTAGAGAGAGATCTAGATAGACAGAGGACCGATACCTACATAGATCGAGACATGCTTCCTCTTTATTTTTTCCTTCATGTTCTCCCTTCTAGAGGCCAACACCTCAAGAGAGTAGTAGATCTCTCAACAAATCAGGTTATTAAGGAAATGCTGAACAGCAAAGACAGCATTAAACACCAAGCCATTACAGACTCAAGTCCTCCTCCACCGACTCCTCCAGCACTTTCTTACCAGTTCTGGTGTCCCTAGTTGATCGGGCTGCCTGTTACTTCTCTTAGATGTGCATCAAAGCTCCCAGTTTTGAATCGTGTTATCAAGCTGGAGCCCAAGACATATCTCACCTAGTCAATCTTCAGCTTTCAACTCAAGAAAGAATGTTATAATATAGTTATCCAGAATAGCAGGCAAACCCATCGGAATCTCTTATCTTTGGAATGCTCTACGTAATTTATTTTGCAAGAGATCCACATAGTTAATTCCATTTTTCATTGGCAAGAGTTAATATAAGTTCTCATTCCCAGAAGAAATTCTGGAGCTACCCAGGGTGCTGGCAGAGGGAATGGGAGGCGAGACAGGAAAAAGAACAGATTCTCTGAATCAAGAGTCCTGGAGCGCCGAGAGGAAGAGACCCTGCATCAAGATGGCCTCCACTGGGGACCCTCACTGACCCATCAACTAGGGACATCTACCATTTCATTCGTCAGTCCCCAGAACCAAGCAGGAGGAGGAAGGACTTAAGTGCCTCACAAGGGGTTGGAGGCATGAAAGCGAAAGCAAAATCTTGCCCCACAGGAACTAAAGCCACATCATAGTATTTCCCTATGAGCCAAGTAAGTGGTATCAGTGTGACGCTCCATGGTGCTCACCGTTTGCAGCTACATCAGGAACGTGCATGCTGTCTCCTCCTCTACTTTGCAAAGTTCTACCCATCGTTCAATGCCAACTTCTCCACCTCTGTGAGGCCTTCTCTGATCCCACCAGGCAAAGCTCACCACTCCTTCTTCGGACCTCCCCTAACGTGCCATTCATACTTACCTCATTGTAATATTGTTGGCTCTTCACGTCTGTTTACTCTAGTGGGTCAATGGCTTCTTGAGGATAGCAACTGTGTTTTAGTTACTGCTCTACCCAAGACATAAAAGGTTGACAGTGTGCCTGCCCCACTTCCCACTGTGCCTTATTGAATGTTTACTTTTTTAGAAATCCCATAGTTAATTAAAATAGTGCAGTTACATTGCACTACACTCTTAGTATATTGAAAAGCATTACTTTTTATTAAGACTTTTTTTTTTCAGAGCAGTTTCCAGTTTAAACAAAATTGAGAGGGTGTTACAGAGATTTCCCATATACTGTCTGCCCCCACACCTGCATAACCTCCCCCATGATCAACATCCCCCAGCATAGTGGTACATTTTTTACAATTGATGAACCTACATTGACACATTATCATCACCCAAAGTCCATCATTTATCTTAGGTTTCACTCCTGGAATCATATATTCTATGGGTTTGGACAAATGTATGACATATTTCTGTCATTATAATACTATCTAGATCGCTTCTCGGCCTTTTGGCTAAGATCAAGTATAATATTATCCTGAATATTTTCATTGCCTTACAAATCCACTATGCTCCACACATTTACCTCCCTTCCCCATCCCCTGTCAACCATTGATTTTTTTTTTATTGTCTCCATAGTTTTGCTTTTTCCATAATATCATAAAGTTGGAATCACATAGTATGCAGCTTTTTCAGATTCTTCCACTCATAATTAATATGCGTTTATGGTCCCTCTGTGTCTTTTCCTGGCTTGATAACTCATTTCTTTTTAATGCTAATAATATTCCATTGTCTGGCTGTCCCACAATTTATTTATCTATTCATCTACTAAAGGACATCTTGGCTGCTTCCAAGTTTGGGCAATTATAAATAAAGCTGCTAGAAACATCTGTGTGCCGCTTTTTGTGTGGACATGGGTTTCAGTTCATCTGGATCAATACCAAGGAACACAATTGCTGGATCAAGTAGTAAGAGTATGTTCCGTTTTGTAAGACACCACCAAACTGCCTTCCAAAGTGGCTGTACCATTTTGCACTCCCACCAGCAATGTATGAGCGTTCCTCTTGCTCTGTATCCTCACCAATATTTGGTATCATCAGTGTTCCAGATTTTGGCCATTCCAATAGGTCTGTAGTGATAGGTATCTCATTGTATGAATTTGCAATTCCCCGGAGACCCATAACGTGGAGCATAAAAGCATTGCACTTCCAACGTGCGCATCAAAGATATCACAGCGAGTTTGGAAACTTGTCGTTTCTACATTTTACTTTTCTAGGAACCCTGGAGTGTCCTCTGGCTCTCTTGACCTCCAACAGCCCCTGCAAATACATCAAAGTCCTACCCAGAAAGCATTCGGGAAATGACTGCTGATAAATTGCTACTTTGTTGCCAAATTCCTTTCAGATGGATCAATGCCAGGAGATGGTGGCTTTTTTATGGGAGAAAAACTTGATATCTTTCCATTTCCTTTCCGGCCCTGGATTATAGGATGCTGGGTGCCTATAATAATTCCATAAGACGTGTCTCTGCCTACGGACCCACCACAACAGTAGTCTCTTCTTAGCATATTTCTCGCCTGGACACTGGTCACCTAGAAGCCCCAGGCAAAGTATTCTGCTCCAGGAACCTCCTACTAACCTAGGAAGCTTAGGAATGTCCCTCTCTTTCTCGGGCCGGGAGGGGGGGGGGGGGGCGGCACGATTTCTTCATTATATAAGAAAGATCGCAGTAACACCTGCCCTCTTCAATTTGCAAGGATGCTTTGAGCATTAAATTAAAGAATAGATTTGGAAATGTTCATAAACTGTCCAAGGACCATGCAAATGTAAGAGTTTTGCTATCAGCTTCTTCTTTGTAAGCTGGATTAGCCAGGCTTGGTATGGAGAATAGTTCCATTTACATGCAGAAAACATTTGACATAGAATATATTCACTACCGGGGCGCCTGGGTGGCTCAGTTGTTAAGCGTCTGCGTCTGCCTTCGGCTCAGGTCCTAGCCCCACATTGGGCTCCCTGCTCAGCAGAAAGCCTGCTTCTCCCTCTCCCACTTCCCCTGCTTGTGTTCCCTCTTTCGCTGTGTCTCTCTCTGTCAAATAAATAAATAAAATCTTTTAAAAAATACAAAATTAAAAAAAGAAGAATATACTCACTACCACACGGAGCAAGAAATGAATAACGCACACAGTAATAGGCAAGCCTAATCTTATTGTGTAGCAGGACAACCTTTTTTTAATCTAATACTTCTTTTGAAAAATGAAAAGAGAAATCCTTCATGTTATTTGAGGTTTCAAATAAATAAATACCAGAAATTAAACATCATGATTCCAATATGATCCCCTACCCACCCTCCCCAGCTGAAAGCCACTCTTGGGGTTATTAGCTCCTTCCAAATTGGGGGTTTATAATAATAGCTAAAATTTATTGAAAATTTATTATGTGCCAGGCCCTGATCTAAACATTTTACAAGTGCTAACTTAGCAACTAACAACAACTTTATAAGATACGTGCTCCATTTTACAGACGAAGAGCCTGAGGCACAGAAAGAGTACATAATTCGCTTCCAGACATACAACTAGAGAGTAGCAGAACCAGTCTTTGAGTCCCTAAATTATGATAGGGCTCACCAACCCCTTAACATAGTACTGATCATTTGATCAAGTTCAATTTGGTTTTCATTCAACAATGGATTAACCTTTTGGAGTATCTGTAGATCAAAGTTCTGAGATGGAAAGCCGACCCCGGGCACAGGATGCAGCAGCAAGTCCCCACAGAATAGATGCTCTGGGAAATAAGTCAATCAGAGAAAGACATGTATCATATGACCTCACTGATAGGAGGAATTCTTAATCGCAGGAAACAAACTGAGGGTTGTTGGAGTGGGGGGTGGGGTGGGAGGGATGGGGTGACTGGGTGATAGACACTGGGGAGGGTATGTGCTTTGGTAAGCGCTGTGAATTGTGCAAGACTGTTGAATCTCAGATCTGTACCTCTGAAACAAATAATGCAATATATGTTAAGAAAAAAAAAAAGAAGATAGTAGGAGGGGAAGACTGAAAGGGGGGAAATCGGAAGGGGAGACGAACCATGAGAGACGATGGACTCTGAAAAACAAACTGAGGGTTCTAGAGGGGAGGGGGGTGGGAGGATGGGTTAGCCTGGTGATGGGTATTGAGGAGGGCACGTTCTGCATGGAGCACTGGGTGTTATGCACAAACAATGAATCATGGAACACTACATCAAAAACTAATGATGTAATGTATGGTGATTAACATAACAATAAAAAGTTAAAAAAAAGAATAGATGCTCTGGGGGCATTGGTTCTCAGACGCCCCCTGCTGGTACCCACTCCAAACCCCATAAAGTCCTCCTGCATCACCTCTAAACAATCCCATGAAATTGGGGTGGTTTTTTTTTTAATGTTCTTAGATGAGGAAACTGAGTCCAGTGGGCCTGATCCCGAACAACACAGCTGCGAAGCAGCCAGACTGAGACCCAAATCCAGCTGTCCCCCAGAGCCAGATTTTCCTGCCTTACTTCACCCACATCCCAGAGAGCACCTTTGAGATTCCTGGGACCATCCATCCACTTGTTCAACCCTTGGTGAGAAGCTGCTCTGAACTCTCATTTCCTGGGACAGAGCAGAGGTCATTTCCATTTTCCTGAGAACCCAGCCTGAAAGCTCGAAAGACTTTTCTAAAAAAAAAAAATTCAAAACACCCTGTGTGTGGTGCGTCTGATGCAGTACGTTTAATGATTGAAAATTTTTCCTTCACAATGGAGCTAAAAGCTGCTAAGGATAGAAGGATAGAGGCTCTCTGGATAAAGAAGATGTAGTATATATATACAATGGAATATTATGCAGCCATCAAAAGGAATGAGATCTTGCTATTTGCAATGACGTGGATGGAACTGGAGGGTATTATGTTGAGTGAAATAAGTCAAACAGAGAAAGACATGTATCATATGATCTCACTGATATGAGGAATTCTTAATTGCAGGAAACAAACTGAGGGTTGCTGGAGTGGGGGTGGGGTGGGAGGGATGGGGTGACTGGGTGATAGACACTGGGGAGGGTATGTGCTCTGGTAAGCGCTGTGAATTGTGCAAGACTGTTGAATCTCAGATCTGTACCTCTGAAACAAATAATGCAATGTATGTTAAGAAAAAAAAAAAAAAGGAGAAGAAGAAGGTAGCAGGAGGGGAAGAATGAAGGGGGGGAAATCGGAGGGGGAGACGAACCATGAGAGATGATGGACTCTGAAAAACAAACTGAGGGTTCTAGAGGGGAGGGGGGTGGGAGGATGGGTTAGCCTGGTGGTGGGTATTGAGGAGGGCACATTCTGCATGGAGCACTGGGTGTTATGCACAAACAATGAATCATGGAACACTTCATCTAAAACTAATGATGTAATGTATGGGGATTAACATAAGAATTAAAAAATAAAATTAAATAAATAAAAAATAAAATAAAATAAGAAAAGAAAAAGAAGGATAGAGGCTCTCATGGTATCTGCTGGTTTGAGGTGTAGAAAGCACTGGAGATATATTAATATTATAGGAACAACTGCAGCCAAAAACTACAACTAAAATTCAGACTCATTGCATGTCCTTTTGGAAGAGGGAGTAAGTGACATAAAATCTTGAGGAAGCCTGGTGAGAGATGCTAGGTACGTGGGCACAGTCTGCAAGGGTAACATGAAAATAAGAACTTTCTCCGCCTTGCGTTCTCACTAAAACTTGGGCAGGGAGCTTATGGTATCAGGCCAGTTTCCCCAGAATGACACGGAGACTCCACTAATCCCACTAGAATGTAACATCAACTCCCCCAGGCTGGGGTAGCCCCCGACTCTGGCTTCTGCCCCTCTCTTCCCAGATCTCAAGCTGCTGGGCTGGGTGACCAGCAGTCTCAGGCGGAGATTTTAATAGCATTCAGGGAAATGAGGGGAATCCCTTTTGAGGGGGGAGGGTGTGCAATGTTAGTCAGGTTAG